CCATTTTTGTCAACATGAGTCGTAATGATGAGCGAATGTGTGTAGACAAGACGTTTCTGTTAATTTCGCTTCAGTCACCGCAGTAGTAGTGGTCGTCGACCTTTCTTGTGTCAACTGGAGACAGTGCTGTGGTCGATGCTGACTTGCCTCTTGACTCGATTTCCAAACAACCAAGAAGTTTTGTGATGTTTGCTTCTATTATAAAGCATAGAAGAGCACTCATTGTTTGCTTTGTAGGCAATCGACCCACACGCAACCTGCAACATTTTGCGACAACCAATGAAGGGGCAGTTGACCACAAAAACGTGCGTTTCTTTTCTCTTTCACTCCAAAACAGAAATTTGCTTTATGAATATGGGCCTGTCCCCTCTCCAAGGTTTCTGCTCAAGTAAAAAAATAAAAAAGGAAGGAAGTTTTTTTGTGTTATGCCTTAGATGTGAGACGAATGGCTACTTTTTGTTTGAAGGACTTGCACTCTCAACCCGGCGCCCCTCTATTTCTGGGCGAGGATCGGTTTCCAGGACGGTAACCATGGCTTGTCCAAGCACCTATGATGTCCATCCTTAATATGCCATTGTTTATCTGCTAAATATGGTATCTCTCCAAAAAAGACATGATTTTTCTCCACTGATCTTATGGCACTGCATTACTCCTTGCATTTGTGTTAGCTGCTGACAGTTGTGTCGTTTAATCATCTCGATGTGTGTAGATACCCTCAGTGAAAATCACCAACGAGTTTGATGGTAATAGTGAAGATGGTTCGCACTTCACTCAGGATCATTCAAGTTGGTCGAGCTTTTTCGAAGACGATGCAAAATATCCCCTGTATCAGCGGCGTCGTCGTAGGAACTCGATCTCCAACCACTCTGTAGCCACCAATTCAAACTCAATGAAAGGGCACTTCACCCCCTTTGACCCATCTCACACCAATTTGGAAGGTATGTTACATAACAAGCCGTTGCAAATTGGGCAGATTTATGCTGATTTTTTGAATAGATCACAGTATTTGCATTTTGTAAATTATCGCTGAATTTTGTTTTTCGTCGCTAACAGACTGGCTTTTCTTCTGATGTGCACGAGAAAGACTCGAAACTAATGGGAAATGGATAATCTTTTCTGAAATCTTAAATTGCATATGAGAATCTGTAAAGCAGAACACCCCGAAGAGTAGTAATTGTGATTGCTTTCTTGCAGGAGACAAATTTGCCGACGACCGCCGAGGTTCGACAGGGGCACCTCGACCGATCCGCAGGACTCGCGCGACCGCCCAGGTTAGTGTGCGGGTCCCCTCAGGCACAGCTACTCGAAGGCCCAGGCGAAGTCCTCCCGAAGGCGTTGATAATGCCGATGATTCCTCCGCTTGGAGAGTACGTCTTTTTTAATTTGACTTAGCGGCTAATTTCGATGTGTCTGGCAGATCTGTGAAAAACTACGTTTTGCCGCCTACGTGGCTTAATGCGTGCCATTGTTGACCGTTATGCGTGGATTCTTGTCTCTCTGTACAGCTCTGTTCCCGAATTTAAAAGGTGCAACGTCAGTAGGTGACTTCGACAGGAGATCGTCAAATCATTAATGCAAAATTTGTGTAAATCTTGGGTTTTCGGCCATTCCATGTGCTCCTGTTACCTGATTTTGGTGTGTGGAACAACGTAAAAACACGTTTTACCGATTGAAATGATATCGGTTATCTTAAATCGCTTATTTTCCGCAAACCTAAGCAAAATACAGTCTCTGTGGAACCTTTAAGTCCTGTAACTACAAAGGCAAAACACAAAGAGAAATCCTGCAACACGTTCTCTCTTCCTTTAAGTCGCCGTGCTCTTCTGTAGTGGATCGCAGAAGGCCCAGCACAGCACCACTACGTGGGCGACCGTCTCGAAAAAAGTTTGATCCTGTTTGCCGCGCGGATCCCGTAACCCTTTGGCGTCTCTACAGTACTGAGTGGAGCAAGCACTCACGTGCCGTTGAGATGAGCGAACGCTCCCTACGATGGTCTGTGAAGGAGGCCATGATGGTGAAGGAGGTGCCGGTTCTCCCCAGTTCCGCTCGATCGGTGTCCCACTTTGGGCATCACAGACCATTCAACCCTGGCGATGGTAATTTTGTTGGAAGGAGATCTGCGAGTTCATATTTAATGGTAGGTTGTGGCAAATTCGTGGTTTTGAAACACTTCACTTACAAGTTAAACGTCATGAGGACGCGTTTTCTAATTCCACCTAGTCCGTCATGGACAGATCGACAGAACAATTTTCTAGGCATTATAGTCTACTTAAACCTTTTAGTTTAGGTGCCATTCAAGCTCACCGTTCGCTGATTATAGTTTCATATTTGTTTTAGGAGTATGAAATAAAGACAAAGGTTTAGATACTGATCAAGTACATGCTGAAGCTTGTATTAAACGTATACCGTTTTGGGGTTGAGGCATAAGTGCATTCTTTTCTTTCAACCATTTATAAACACTAAGACTAGGGACACATCAATCAATTATGGGCCCCTCATCACCGTGTACTACTTCCCGTCCTGTCTCGATAAAAAAGCTCGTTGTGCCACACGAGCTAGCCTGCCGCAGGTTTGAAGGGCTGGCGTTTCTGGTTTTACATGAACTCGTGCGGTACTAGCCCTTCCATCTTTTGGATTTTAGCTGTTATTTTCAGATGGTGACAAACGATCTTCTGGTAGGAATTTGTCTGCTTGGCCGTTACCCGCATGATCTGGCAGCAATTTTCTGTCAAAAGCGCCTTAAGACGCTGTTCGCTGAATCCATTTTGGTCCTAGAATAGTTTAAAACTAACTTTAAATGAATTTCGAGGAATTTGGTCGTTTTTCGCGTTGAACTTTTGGTCAGGATCACTGAGTTCAATTCTTAAGGCGTGCGGCTAAGAGTGGTTTAGGTGTCCTGTCGGTGCGTCATTAGACATTCTGGCAATCAGCTGAGACCCATCGCTGATCGTGCCTTCTAGGTCGAGATTTGAATTTTGGATTTCGCTTGGCTGCATCTGCTTCTCCCTTGTCGGGTGACAGTCAATTCTCACACTGTCCATTTTGTTTACTCGCCCGTTATTGATTATTTTTCTCCTTCCCACTGTAGTACTGATGGCGCCGAGTCAAAACCCCGCAGAAACAACTCTAGCGTTTTATACATTCGGATGTTGTTCTCCACTGACCAAATGCTATGACTGAGCTCGTTGTCTGGCTTTCAAAGTCATTCTCCCCCTTTACCTGCACACGCGCACGTCTTTAGCTGTTCTCCAATGACAAGCTACCATCTCCTTTTGTATAAAATAGGTGTAGGGAGGTTTCATGGAGTTGGTTCCGGACACTTTATTATCAAATGTCTATACGTCATTTTCATACAGATATTTCCATTCACAAGTACGTTTAATTCTGTTGAGCTACGCTGTTCACAATACTCAATTTTTCCCACCAAATGTTGAATTGTGAAAAACTCCGCAATCTACATTAAAGGCAATCACACTTGATGTGCCCCTTTAATTAGAAATATCCTTTTTCTCCTCAAATCGCCTTAACCAACGTTAATATAACTGTGGAGGTGATGAACGTTTAATTCATACTTTCCGTGTAATTAAAAAAGCAGAAGACAAAATTCGACACTTTCGATCGAAAACCAGATGTGGAATTTATACTAAACCCCTAGCGGTACCATTTGACGTGGTCATTAGTTTTACTTTTGTACCCATGTAAAATGTCCCCTCTTGACCCAGTACCTATTTGCTTGTGCCTGTAAATCCTAACCTGGCCCATATCGTGAGCCTTTCTATGTTGCGTGAGACAAACTCGAAGTAGTCCGTAGATCGCAGGCGTTGACCCCCAACTTCTTGGTGCGTCACTCATGTGTCATAGATCAAGCTGCCAATTTTTTTGGACAAAAAACATAACGTTTTGTTGTCCATCTGGTGAAACATGCCACTTGAGAAAGCCAGTCACGATGAACCTCGTTCGTCCGACATACATCGAATTCACACCGCCCATTCAACTTATATTGACGTTCAAGAACCACTTCATTTTTGTCTCGATGTCTTGGCTGTATTTAGGCCGCCACTACTCACCATGCTTGAAAAACTCTCCTGTTTTAAGACAAGAGAACATAAAACGAGTTCTTGAGAGCTCTGTTTTAGAAAGAATGGAACAGGAAAGTCTGACATACTGTACACTCTAGCCTTATTAAAACCTCAAGTCCATTATCACAGGACTTTTATTAAAATTGATATTCAATTGGCAAGCTTCAAAACCAGTTTAATTTTTCCACAAGTTACCCAAACAGATTTTTTAAAGCACCTCTTAAGGCCAATTTTCCAAGCCAACGAAATTTAGGATTATTGGCTTTTTAGTCCCATCATTCCTCTTTAAAGAATTGTTCCTGTATAGGTAGGCCAACAATAGTGCCACAATAATGATGGGTTGAATTGTAGTGGTGATCGTTTTCTCAGTAGATCGCATCGGGCTTTTGTGTAATTCACACTTTGGGTTTTTGAGGAGGACGTTTGCATTGGCAAGTTTCCTTTCAGGATTGAATATTAATTAAAAGGCAATAGTTTGTCAGTAATTGAGTTCAAAGCCCACTGATTGCATATCTTTACATTGAAATATTAGTCAGGGTATCACATTATCATTGGTCAGTCAATTTGGAAAAAAATTGACGGTCCTGTCGAATGAAGCTGTGAAGGCAATAATTGAATGAGCACAAAACACATTTTTTAATTGAACTGCTGCATAATCACTGAAATCGTCACCCATTTTGAAAATAGGGGAAAAGGCAGGTTAAAAAAATCAGTTGATACAGAGACAAGGACCTTTCTCACGGATACTTTTGGGGAATCAGAGTAACTGTGCTTTCACTAAAGACGAAATGTTATGGAGTGTAACTAGGAAATTGAAGCCATTGATAGAATTAATGAGCGAGTTGTAGGGCACCTTTTAAATACTGATACTATTTTGGCTCTTGTGATTGTCGTAACAGTTAGAAACTTGTTGACGTTCTCCACGGCATACGGCGCTTAACTTTCCTAAATCAGTTGAACAAATTCCAAGTAGAAACACTGCATCATGGAAGGAGTGTTTAAAAACGGTTAAAAACTTACTCTGAGTAATAAATAACAACGATAGCGAGAAGGTTTATTAGTCTAAACAAAAAAATAGCTTACAATGTTTTTTTATTCCTATGTCGGGTATGGATCTTTTGTTTTGCAATGTACTAAGTAGGAAGATTATAGTGCTAGTAATTCGAACCTGATCAACTTTGTCCAGCTACACCTACCGAAGTTTATTACGATGAAATAAGGGTCATAAGTAAATTGTAAACTTAAATTACTTCGCAACAACTTGCATGAGTACAAATTATGTATCACACTAAGTGAACGTTAATCACTTAAAGTGGCGTGGACGGGTCATGAATGCTGATACATCGGCTTCGCATGAATGGGACGAAAATCACTTAATCCAGCGTAATGTAGCCATGTAACGTAACGTATATCAGAATTAGTCAGTTTGCCCTATTTGGCGAAAAATCACTACTGTAATAAAAAGATAATCCCAGCACAAAGGTATATATTGAAAACGGTTTGCAATGTAAATGGCACTAACGAGCTCAAACCACATCTAGTTAAACTTTGTATCATGCCAATATAATCTACTAATTTAATGAGAACAAAATTAAGTTGTAACTATCGAACTCATTTAACTGAACCAAAAGATAGGTCCAATGTATACTGTCAACTAATCGAGGTGTAGAGGAATGAACTTTAATATAGGTGATTGTGTTGAGCGAAGAACATGCAAGAGATCAAAGTTGATGTCACACACATTATACTAGGACTGCGTACTGTTAGGGTAGTACTAAATTGGCCGTTTACAGGGTATCAATTTTGAACTTCATAATAATTGTGTTTGTCCCTCAAAACATTCTTGATGGATTCGAGCTTACCATAAAAATTGGGACACGAAATCCAAATAAAATATAGCTGTCAGGCAAAAGTTAATGTACTGGAAAGACTGCTGGACAAGTTAATATCTATGGCTTATTTAGAGATGAAGGAAAAGGATTACATTACTACGCAGAGCAGGTTGCAACTGTTCAAATTCATTCTAACCAAAATGTTCCTCAAAAACGTAAACACCAGAGTTCCATCTATTTGTATATATTATTCACTTTTGTCTTAGTATATGATTTTAATCACTTTATTTATATCCACCCACATCAATCTTTTAAGTTAAATGTGATTTATTAATTTTTCTCCAATGAAAGTTAACTCACTCTTTTTTGATAAAGCCGCAGACTATTTTTAAATTAGCTTCTAATGTTTTATTAAAATACAAGCTAGGAAAATGATCTTAATAAACTCGCAAACAAATAGCCGTTATACACACCATTTCCCGTACTTGGATGCTCCCCGTGTAAATAGCGAGTGGTCGTGTTAGATTGGAGGCTTCAGCCTGCTGGTCTTCGGCATTCGAAAAGATGGGGTGTCTTGACATTTTCATGTTCATTAACTTGTTTTTGACTTGCTTTCATATTCCTGGAATCGCAGCATCTCAATGTCAGCTTGCAAAAAACTGTCAGGAATGTATGGGTCGTGGGCCCTTATGTTCTTGGTGCTTTGATGAGAATTACGACGATACAGCCGAAGGTCCTGGTTATCGCTGCGCCGAACGTGACGTTCTGCTTGAACGTACCTGCCCCGCTGATAAAATTGAAAGTCGTAATTCAACAGTTGTTGATGGTGAGTTTGTTCATTCTTTTAACGTCTTTTTCAGCTGGTATTTCTGGGAGCGATGCCCAACTAACGCCTCCGCGCCAGAAAGTGTCAGTTCGTCCTCACGATAGTCTGAAAACCGATTTTACTTTCCAATCGATATCAGACTACCCCGTTGATATCTATTTTCTTGTCGATCAAAGTTACACTATGCGTGACGACTTGGAAACAGTGTCTCGACTCACTAAAGATATTGCTAACTCATTTACTGCCGTAACGAAGGATCTTAGAATGGGTTTTGGCGCGTTTGTTGACAAACCGGTATTTCCTTTTATCGTGCCCACTCCCGAGGCCCAAGCCAATCCATGTCTGTATGGTGTTGGGAACCAGGACCTTCAGTGTGATCCTCCTTTCCTCTATAAGCACATCCTTTCTCTTACCGATGATTTTGCCAAATTTGAAGAAAAGACCATTCTTTCAAGAGTATGTGTACCTAGTTAGGCTGTCTTGCTTTGTACCATCAATGACATTATTTTTTATCTTTCAGCCGTCGGGAAACCTTGACAGCCCTGAGGGTGGATTAGACGCCCTTCTCCAAGTTGCCCGTTGCCCTGAGCACATCGGATGGCGCAAAAATGCTCGCAAAATTGTACTTTTCGCCACGGATGGGGGCTTTCATCTAGCTGGGGATGGGCGCCTTGCTGGATTAATCAAACCTCCGCCCAAAACGTGCCAACTCACTTACGAACCTGATAGATTTAACAAATCACTCGAATACCTTGGTTGGCATAATTCTGTTGAGACAGATTATCCTAGTGTCGGCGAGGTGAGTATGGTTGTATATTTTGCATTATTGTATCAAATAACTTTTCCCTGATTTTTTATATGTATGCCTATTCGTTTTAATCACTTCCAATTACACTCTCAAAAATTTCGTGTTTTTCAATCTTTTTAAGCCAACTTTACACACTGATTTAAATTCTTTTCCCCTAATAACTGTCCCTATCTGTTATATCAATCATCCAGAATGCTTTCTCAAACAGATATGATTTTTTTAAAGTTAATTGTGTATTGTTTTACGTGTTGAGGAATATTGGTATCCATTTACTTGTTTTCAATTTATTTTGAAAAACTAATATAATTTTTTACAAGTTGTTTAGTACTTTTCTGCTATTGGTTTACTTGATGGATAAATTTCACGGAATCACACTACTTTGGCCCAATCGCTAATTAAAGTGTAGAGCATAATCTGGGGAATCATATTTATTACTACCTTGCTGGACCTATCTCAACGGCAGCATATTTCCTCACAAAGTAACAGTCATTGATTCCTGGGTTTTTTCCTTTGCGTAGCATTCAGAGATTTTCCTTGATTGGAAGTGCTGCTCATTTAGTTCATGATAGCTGCTAATCAGCAAATTGAGTTGCATTTTGTATGCTTGACGAAGTAAACAACTTGCCGGTTTTGTTTCAGGTTGCTGAAGTCCTGACAGAGACCGATATCAGTGTCATCTTCGCGATCGATACTAAGGTCTTTCCACTTTATGAAAAATTGGCCGCTTTTCTCCCCTCCGCGGCTGTAGGAACTCTCACCAACAGCTCAACCAACATTGTAAATTTGCTGCGGGAAAACTATGATAAGATTGCTAATCGCGCCGAGCTTCTACTCTCCTACGACACTGATTCACTAGAGGTTAGCGGCACTTCTTATGTCTGTTAATGAGACTTAAATTTAGTCTGTGACCTGAAGACTGGCTAGTAGTGAACGGTATGCAAAGGTGCTCATGTTAGCCCAACAAGTAGGTAAATTTTATGCTGTCCTTTCCCTTGAAATGGTCTATTGTATAAGTAGATGGTAATGTTTTGTAGTTACTCATTCGACCTTAAACACGGGCCAGTGATGAGTTTATTACAAAGGCGCACGCTCCTACTTTTCTGACTTGCACATTCGATTGTAATACCTCTCTCCAGTACCGCTCTGGTAATTGATTTGCCAACTCCAACATCTACCGTCAACATGTTAATGGGTAAACGTCGAATGACCTGAAACTATCAGCCACAAGAAATGTAATATCCATTCAAAGTTTTCACATTGGTGGTTCTAAATTGGCGGAATATTTTGTCACAAATACACAATTATTTGAGTTCACCCAATCCTTAGCTCTGCTAATCTGCAACGAGGATCAACCAGGAAAGAATCGATTACAGAATCACTTAATTACCAACTGTACTACGATTTTTTTTATGACGTAATATAACATAAAGTTTATGTATCCTCTTGGCACGTATCACTTCGGACCTCTGTTCAAGCCGTGTGTTTAATCTGTTTACCTTTTTACATGTGTGAACAGAGCATTGCAAGCACTTTCAATACATAAACAACTGTCTAATATATTCAGAAATAATCTCTTTATGTCTAGTTAGTTTTTTTTCCGTAGCCTTAGAGGAAACGAACATTAGACTAGTAGTTGGGGTTAAATAAGGTGCCCATTGAGTATCAGCAGCTCAATAGGCTTCTGATACCCTGAAGCGTTTTAATGCGGTCTTCAGTCTGGTATTGGGGCACGTATCCCCGTATTCAGGTTCATTTGTAGTGTCCATATTTTTCAAAACAAGCTTTTTCTACTGGACTCTCACCTACCTCCGCTATTCCTAACAGGTTGAAATTCTTGCCAAGTGTCAGGGCGAGACTGAATTCACGAAAAAGATGGTCTGCAAGGAACACCCAGTCGGTGGCAAGATTGAGTATCGTGTCTCCGTAAAGCCTACCCGCTGTTTTCCCGGCACGAAAGAAGTTGTACTTAAAATGATCGCTTTGGAAGAGCAGGTCAGTTTCCGAGATTTCGTTAATAGTTATCAAGTGCATTGATTTTGCTCGACTTTGACTACCTTATTCTGTCAACAATGCAACAATATTAGCGAAAAAGTTAGCTTTCCCTAATCCTCGAGCTTTGTGACTGCACCGGTGACTTATACAGGATTTAGGGTGACGTATCAAGGAAACTACGAGCACCACGTAAATGGGCACCATACTTTATCTCATCCAATTTGTTTTCTCGTCCTGCCTCCCTCCCTGATGGCACGAGGCTCTGTAATTTCCTTCGTAAAAAGGCCCTTCTGAAGTAGTATTCGTGTACAAACATTTGTTCAATGAAAATATTGTAATCGTCCAGGTAAACTGATGTTAATACGCTGGCTTTGAGAGTAGCCACCGGTACTCTAACTGGCAAATGTGCCACCAACATCGAAATTGGTCTTTTGCTGCGTGAGTTGAATTACTCAGTCGGTTGTTAAATCAGCTATAAACAAAGTGTCGATCCGTGGGAACCAGAATCTAAAACCTAGTTCTTAAGCCGTGTGTAAATACACATCCGTACGTGTTTTCGTGCGTTTTTGGTGCGTGCTTGCGTCTAAATGTGTTTTCCATGTTTGTAGTTTTAAGTGCACTTGTTAACGTATTTCGTTGTTTTCTACGTCTGTTCCTTTGTCTGAATTCAAAGAAAACCTTTCCGATTTATGGCTTTCGGACTCGTCATTAACTTGAGCGTGTTCCAGTCCAGGTGATCAGATGCATGCTCTCGACTGACCTCCCCTAGTCTGGATCTACCGTATCGTACAAACTTGATTGGTTACCGTCTCTAGTTAGTACCTCTCACCAATTGTTTTCACAAGTGTCTTGCTTTCTTTTTCCGTGTGTTTCCGAACGTAATTTGGAGTTCACTTTGTACGTTTTTAAAGGCAACAGTGCAATTTCGAACCTATTACAACTCGTGAATGTTTACGCCTCTTAAGTAACAGCTGCTTCTACACATGGAGAATGACCGCCTTGGTTACTTCTTAATTGTTTATTATCAATTTAGACCCACTTTTGTGTTTTCTTCATTGCCTAACTCCGTTCCAGTCGCTCTTCCCCTGAACACCTCCTATAGCTCTTCCTGTGGTGCTTCACCTACATCAGAAGATCATGAAATTTTGTTGCATGGTCTCCCATTTTCAAGTCTTCTATTCATACATCTGTCCTTCATCCATTTCGTTCATTCTAAGCAGTTTTATTTCTTGAACCCTCTTGTTAGGCTGTTCTTGAAGTGACTTCGGCTTGTGAATGTCCCAGTTGTGGACAGCCATCTCCCTACAGTCCTCCATCTCCGCGCTGTCAAGGTCACGGTCGTTTAGAATGCGGTGCATGTGTTTGCGATCCTCAATACTCCGGGGAATTCTGCGAATGTTCAGCAGAAATCTCACAGCAGGAAGAGGTGATGCTGCAACAGTGCACAAAGCCGGGAGACACTGTGGTGAGTTCCCTTTGACCTTCGACCTTTTCCCTACTTGAGCATTAAGCACCATCTAATGACATTTCCTGCCGCATCCTTAGTCGTCTTGTTACTTCATAGTGTTCGTGGTTTCTTTTTTAACGCCCAATTGTCAGCGACGTTCTTGTTTATCACTTCCCTTTTCGTATTTATTACCGATACCCTTTCCATTGTCTCTGGTAAATGGAGAGTCCTCGTTTAGTCTCAGAGTTGCAATTATGCCCGAGTTAAGAACTTAAAGGATTCCGAAGTGATGCGACGTGGCAATGGTTTTGCGTCATATATGGCGGGGCCCCAGTTTCCTCTAGTGAGAGAGAGTGCAATGTGGCCTGGGCGGCCACTTTCGCCGTATAAAGTCACGGCGGTGGCAACCCTACAAGCCACTTGGTGCGTGAACTGTCGTATTTTTGGTGGTGCTTGTTGCACTGATTTGAATGGTGCCTTGACTTGTTTACTTCCCGTCCCCCATAGCCGTGTTCGGACCGCGGTCGATGTGTGTGTGGCCGCTGTAAATGCAATTTGGCACGGTACATGGGTCTCTACTGCGAGTGCGACCGCCACGGCTGCAAACGGGCTTTTGACGACAATCAGGTCTGCGGCGGTCCACAACGCGGTGAGTGCCAGTGCGACGGGACCTGCAAATGCAAGCCCGGCTACACGGGAGAGCGTTGCGACTGTATGGACAGCAACGCGAACTGCTACGACCCTAGTAAACCCGATGTGAGTGTATTTCATGGTATCCGTCAACCTGGATTGATTTTCTGTTTCCATTGTACCTCTTCCTTGCCCCCCCAAAGTTGTTTCTAACCATGCCTTGATCAATCGTATGCCTGTTATAGTCGTGCTAATGCGGTGAACGCAGTTAAATTTGTGGGTTCGGGGTACCTTGGCTAATAGGTTTGATGATTTTATTTCGGGATACCTCAGCATATAAGGTCGCACTTATTTGTATATTTACGCGCAATTTCAAGGAGCTAAGATAGAATTCAAAGGATGTGTAACCTCGTGATCATTTTGCGATCAACTGAGTGTCAAATTGTATGCCCCTAATCGTCGTCTACTGTTAAATCACTGCACTCGAACTAGTAGGTCAGTATTCACCCAACATCGTTGTTTGGAATTGAAAACTGTCTTTCATTTATGCCGGTTATTGCACCTGATTTAACCCTGTGTGCTAGTCACCCGCTCAGCCCACATCGTTGCTTGCGTGCATTTGGTTGCCACAGCAACCTGCCAGTGACCCAATCAGTGCTGACTTGCCCCCACCTAGGTTGCACTGAACCGACTGGTCGTGTTTGGTACATGCTCTATCCGTAGCCGTGGTTATGTTACAATCGCATACTAGCCCCTCAAAAAATTCATTCACCATCAAAAGTACTTGGAATTTGCAGTGAACCGTCGACGAACGCGTAGGATGCTTGTGTTCCAACAGGTGTGCCTCATTTTGATTGGTATTTATGACTCACCCTTGCGTTTCATTGGTATCGGCCCACACACGTGCGCACAATGACACATCATGCCTGCCTGGCGTCATGTTGTAGTTTAGCTTACCACTGCCACAAAAAACCGTCAATAGCCTGCCTTATAACTTTTCAAGCTGTCATTTGGCCATGATTCGAATGCGCTCTTGGGATTTTCAATAGTGACTCCTAAACTGTTAAGCTTTTTCGGTTGTCGGTGTGTCACTACAAAGCGCCTTTTGGTTTGGCCGTCTTATGTAATTTTGGTGGAACCGAATTACCGGTGTATTCGTAACTGCTTATCAACTTCATCTTTCACTTTACGTGCGCAAGGTAAACGGTTCTTTCGACCGTCTCCACCACTACTGTAATCCCTTATCAGCTGTAGCTATGTCGCTTGAAACTGATGCTTTCCTTATCATATTTGGTTGTTTGCCCAATTAATTGAAACATCGTGCTACTTTTATAAAGTTTCAAACTGGTTCTAGCTCTCTTACCCTTCTCATACACTCACCGTAGCCCTTCTGTCAATCCAGCTGGTAAATATTCCATCGTCAAAGGCTCCTTAGCACATTGGTGATTGTTGACATTGCGTAGTGAATCGAGTAGTAGTTGTGTCGCCATTTAATCAGGACGACCACTCTCCCCCTCCGAGTATTGCAAATTTAAGTGACAGGGTAACAATAATGTTGAATAAATTCGTAATCTGCTTTCAGACAACAGAGCTAGCCTGTCACTCTGTTCGTTTGGGTGGATGCAATATTTGTTATTCAAAGTAAATCCAAGTACCATTTGGGCTTAGCTTGTTTGCGTAGTTCTTTCTGATTTTTCTTATTCACTTTAGGGCCCACCCTGTTCCGGAATGGGTGTCTGCGACTGCGGTCAGTGCTTCTGTAACTCTGGCCGTACCGGTCAGCTTTGCAACGAGGTTCAAGGTGGCGAATCCGCTCTCTGCACGGACCGAAACGTTGAACAATGCGTCCTCTGTCTACGCCGTGAAATGCTCGGAACTGATGAGGAGAAAATCGTGGAGGAAGCAGAAAAACGCAAATCCCCTTACGAACCAGTCACCGTCTCCCACGCAGCTGTGACTGCTTGTCAACCTCTTTGCAACACTACTGTGATCGACACCGCCTCGGTACAGATAATCGACGAGGTGGGAGATGATGGCAAAGAAGAAGAAAGTGGAAGCGCTGGATCGAACTTGTGCATCATCTACACCGAGGACTCCTGTCGCGTCATGTTCAAGTATCGCTATTCCGACGCTGTCTACATCAACCGAAAGGTGAGGCATCGTGGAACACTTGATTGATTAAGCAACTTTATTTCAGGCTCTAGTTTTTGGGACCAATAAGGCTATAAAGTCAAATAATTCTTCTTTACTTGGTAGATTTCAGCAGAACGTGAGTTCATCTTGCCTTTAACCTATACTCACAAACCCCTGTTAAAATTGCTATATGAATTCCTCCAAGTAAGCAATTTTATCGGTTCCCTCTATGCTTTTTACAGGTTGACCTAAAAATCGTCCGTAAGAGTGAATGCACTAAAACTACTGGCATTCTCTACATAATTCTGGGCGTAATCGCAGGCATCGTGCTCGGCGGTCTAATTCTGCTCCTCATCTACAAACTAGTCATTACAATTGACGATCGCCGAGAACTAGCCAAGTTCAAGATGCACAATGAAAATGTTCATTGGGAAATGGCTGAAAACCCAATTTTCGAACCCCCAACCACGAAGGTCATGAATCCAACCTTCAATGACGACGCAGCAGCTTTTGACTAGTCGCTGTTCTTCCTCCTGGCGCAACCCTTTTTCATGCATGGCCCCCTCCACCCTTTGTTTGCTTTTCCCTGCGACTTAAATCATGAATATGGAACACGACTAATATTGTGTTTATTTCTTAATGCATTGTTCTTACCGCATTAATATATAGGCATTTAGCTGACGCAAACATTCCTCTTCTGTGCGCTTGTTGCCTTGGATGGTGTTAGAAAATGTGGCAGGTTGCATGGGGACTTTAGACCATTCCCGTAATATCGCTAAGTTTCAATGTCTTTATTTTTAAGCTAACATGTGGCACCGCCGAACACATAATGGTCTGTGAATTAGCTAACGCGTACCAAAAAGCAATGAAATAGTCAGATATTGTTTGGTACTGGCTCACCTTCTTGCATGTCAGGTCGTCACAGTTAGAGTTTGTGCAATTGGGTCATATTTCTGCGTCCACCTCATTTGGCTTTAGTTGTAACCAATGCTCCATAGCGTTTAACGCAGAACGAAAAGCGTTCTTCTCCCCCTTCTACTATCAATGTAAAGAGAACTCAAACTATATTTGTGAAACCGTATGTGCCGTGTTGATACTTGTGCTAGGAATCCCCTAACATGTGGTGTTATTGGTCTTCGTTTTAGTAAAATTTTCAGCTTTGTTTTGTACAATAAGGTCCGGTTCTCTTTGAGCCCCGTTTCAGTGGTTACCGCAGTAGGATCGTTTCCCCATAATGAGATTTCTCTAGCGATCTGTGAAGGTGGTCTTACGGCGCATAAAATCTACGGTGGCCGTCGCAGGACTTGCCGGCCAACTCTTGATATTGTTTCAAGCCATCTTGGCTCCTGCGTTATCGTACCAGATGCGGCAAAGTCGAGCTCAAAAAACAACTGCTAAGAACACATTTTAGTGAGAGGGTTGACTTTTGATTTGGCTAACGATGGTCGACGTGGTGTTTTGTTCTTTCTTCGCTTGCACTTGGCACAGAATCAGCTTCTCGCTTACAGTGTTGATTTTTCGCTTCAGGGTCACTAATTTGTGGATTACGTGTGCGGAAAGCGATGCGGGTATTGGGATGACGAGTGGTCGCAACATACACTAGTGTTTCCTCATCTCGAGAAATTGGTTGTTGTTGATGCTTATGTACGGGTCAGCTGTGCTTAAAGTAAGGGAAAGGAGACAGTCGTCTTCCCTTACGCACTGGAAGCTGATTCGCGTGGTGCCATCCCAGCCGTGCACGTTTAATATGGCGAGAGATAGCAGCCCTCAAACCAAGTGTACAAAAAAAAATTTTATGTTGGTGATGCATTCGAATCAGCCGATCCGTCAACATAGGCTAAGGCAGTACTCCGACCCTTGTCATAAGAGACCATCGTTTGGCGAATCCTAAAATCGATAAGACGAGATGCTAGTGCCATCGAATGAGTTAGAAAAGGAGGCTGCATTCCTGTTTCTGATTCGAGTCTCTTCAAGCGTGTTTGTATAGGCAATGAAGTTGGCTTTCAAACAGTGCCATAGTGAAACGAATGCGTAATGTGAGATCGCGTTGTTAGGTTCATGCGCTACTAAGCTGTGGGTTCGGAGGATTAGACAGCTGAATGTGTACTGCATATTACTGCCACCGAACTGTCTCTGATCTACTCACGCTGCTTAATACTGACTAATGATTCCGATGACACTGTCATTGCTCTTACCACAAAATGAACACCTGCTCGTGTGCCTGCAAGTGTGGCAACACTGGTAGCGATAAGAGCGCATAGTTCGGCGTTGTTTCCGAATGTACCGCAACTCTCCTCAAGCTTGCAAATCAAGCGGGGCCACACAGCGTCTCCCGATTCATATCTCTTGTGCAAGAGAATCGAGATGAGAATCGGGACACTGCTCTCTGTCTATGTATCCCATAGGTTTCATATTAAATACAAGCCTTTTTTGGAACTAAGGTCCCAAGTCGGATGTTCTTCCTACTAAAGAACACCATTAGGGCCTCAACGATTTCCCTCACATCACTACACTTATCTTCACTGGTCTAACCCATTTGGGGATATACTTATTCAGCAATTTAATCACTGTCGGCCTGCCGCTTGTAGTAGCAGGCCCGGCCCTTAAATAACAAATTAATGCAAAAACACTCCGTAGATAATGTCGCATGTACCATCGAAACTTGTCGTTCTTTCCCACCATAAACTCAAATTATAATTGGCTTAGCTTTACTGAGTCCTTTTTTATTATAGTGAATGAACCAAGTGTATCGAATCCTTTCCAATCGAATTCTGGTGATTTATCACCAGCACCGCAATTACAGATTCATTCCCGAAAAACCTGTCTGGCGCTGGCATGATGTGAGTTATGGTCAATTCTGCTTACTTCGTTATGTTGAGTTTCATACTCGTTGTCGAGGCTTCTCGGTCTAAAAATCGGTGCTTTTATTACAACGTGCTCGATTCAATCATTTAAAGCTAACTTTGCTTGTATGAAAAAGCAACTATACTATTTAGGACAGGAGTCCCTGTACGGATAGCACAATTTTCTTCATTCCCCCTGAAGAAGTCCCTCCAAGAACTGAGTTGGACGATCTGACTGTCAGGCTCCTCGAACGTCTCAGTTTGATCAATTTTGATTCAGAGGTGAGGGCTAGCATTCTATCTTCATACCTGTGTGTCAGGTTTTGCGCCTTTGTATCGCACCTAAATACGTCGCACAGTTGTACTGAATTATTGTGCGAACAGGGTGCCTCAGCATACTACCTTGGTTTATTCCTGATAAGCACTTCCGGATCTTGCAAGGTGGTGAAGTAATTTTTATGTCCAGATCAGCTAAATTTCCACTACAGAACACCTGGCACTGTGACTAGGGATTTGAGCCCACAAATTGATAGGCTTAACAACTGCCGTTCGAGAAATCCTCACGTAGATGTTAAGGCGCTAGCGTATGATGCTATCTCCTTAACGCCTACCAACCATATGTTGTCATTTGCAAGTAAATGAAATTTGTGTCATGTTTCGTACAGTCGACAACTTTCTACATTTTTTATCAAGAATTTCAAATCGGTCAATTTCTCGTCCGGTATGCAATTTGGATTGCACTTCTGCATTCCCAGGTGGGAAGCGATAAGTCCAACGTCCATGTTTTCTAGCTAAATCGTCTTTCTACAATAGAACACAATCGCATAAAGCTTAATGGACATTATACTTTCGACGGAAAAAGCCCCCACTTCCTTTGTAGTTTTCCGATTTTGTTCTCTCTAACAACTGAATGTCCATTTCCTGCCCAGTATTCTAAAAAAAACATATCCCTGCTCGAGTGACACCGAACCCCCACGCGAATAGGGATTTTTCCGCTCATTAACTACTAACTAGCAAAGATTAAGTATTTTCCTCTGTTCTCCCTAGAAAACGAAAGGAGTTTTAGAAGAAGCTATTCACTTTGCGAATTGCCTTCTAACTCCTACAGCGTTTAGAGGAATTTCAAAAGAGTCTGTTGCGCCGATGTACTCCCTGTTGGAGGACCTCGAGGTAGCGATGGACCTTCGAGAAGATGAGCCCCTAGAAGAATGTCAAACTGCCAATCATATCCTAAGGCATGCTTCGTTAACATGGGAGAACTATTTTGTAGCACCCCCAGGAAATCAGCCAATCCATCCCGAACTATCTACCCAGTCCCATCTTGGAAAACGACATGACTGACGTAACCTACTTCCAGTGAAACTTCGAAATTTTCCGCAACTTCCGTACTTGCTAGTTTTTTTTTCAAAACTCAAATCTCGTTCTGTGCAACAGTATAACGCGTGTATCACCTTGTCAACACATATTTTAGCGAGAGCCAAACCCGTACTTTTATACGACCTGAAATTTCAATGACCTCACGGTAAATGATTCATAACAATACCTTGAAGCGTGATCAGTCCATCCAGGAGAGGTAGCGGGGACTTAGATTTCCTCTGGATTTAGCGTTCAGAACGTCTGAAGTTCTTTTACGCTCAGTATCGATTCAAGATGATTCAACACCTCAAATTTATCTCGGTTTTGGTCCCTTGTCCATGCGTTTTAAACAATTGGAGAATATGTTTCTTTTTATCCATAAGCTTTCATCCAAAACAGAAAACATAGATCATAGCATCGTTCATTTTAAAATGTATAAAGAAACAGACATGAAAACTGCGCTACGATGTGGCATGGTGATCCAGTTCAGAACGGAGTTCTAGAAAAATTAACACATCTGGAAAAAGAATTACCCATGGCCAATCTTCTCGTTGCTCTGCGAGGAGTTGTGTTTGATGCAGCTTCTGTCGTTAGTGAAGCGTGAGTGGTTTCAATATCTTCAGTTTGCTGTTTAATCTGTTTTTCCTGAAGAAATTTTTCAAACCTCTTACTCGTATCAGCTGGCAGGAAAAGACGTGTTAGGGGTCGACTCTGCATTCGTAGACCTACCAAAAATGGAAAGGATTAAAGTATTGGGATCACCCAGCAAAACTGCACCGGCAGGCCACCTTAAATAGACATATAGTTACTTGTCACACACGCATATCTCTTGAGAGGATGAGCAAATCAGTTATAGCAACTTTTCGGTTAGCGGAACAAATCCCCGAGTCTCAAGCGACGATTAAACGCAACGACTTCTTGATTTACGTTAATCGGAACGTTAACACCATTCCCAATTTATATACAGAAAGCAAAATATGCATTTCTCGTTAGTCTTAAGAAGTTAGACTGATGGAAGCACGAAACCAAGGCGCCTCAAACGCGACTTGTTTTTCGATAAAGTATATAGAATAAGGGCAGTAAAAGAGGTTGATTTCCATAGCTATTGATTCATTAGTTTGTACTACGCATGAGTCTCAAGATCTCGACTGTGACAAGTCAGAGCCTGAAGTAGAAAATCTACATTTTAAAACAGATAAAAGTCAACGTCTTAATAACTGAAGCAAGTGGGCATAGAGGGCGTACATTCGAGAAAACCGAATGTGAATACTGAAGTAATTTTCACATCACTTTCATAACTCACTAGTAGCAACAGAACGCGTGATATCGCTCAATATTTGGTACTATATCTTACAAAATTATAATCATGAGAAGAGGTGTAAATCAGCGGGTTTTAATCTCTAAATCGATTAGGTTGCTGTACTCAGTTAAAAAAAAGGACAAAAGGCATCCAATTTAACAAAACAACACCCTCCACAACCAAGCAATGGTGTTGAAATGAACACGACCAAAGAAGTCAGTTATAGACTGCGCAATGTTGTAAAGTGTGCGGTGTGGTGTTGTGGTGTGGTGTGGCGTCGGATTAGGGCGCAGACATGTTGGGCCACCTGGCCTCAGCCAATCCCGTGTCTCTCTGCGATCCAATGGCATGCGGGAATGGAAGGCAGTCAACCAGAGAAGGACACGACTGAGGAGCAGCATATAATGAGCGGCGTGGCCAGCGTGGTGGACTCGGATGGAAGGCGCCTGACGCGTGGCTCTGGCTTCTGATTGGTCAATAAAGCCTGTTCTGTTGTACCAGTCTTTTACCTATTAGGGCTCGGGTATTCTACGGTGGCGTCGGATTGGGGCGCAGACATATTGGACCACCTGGCCGCAGCCAATCCTGTGTCTCTCTGTGTTCCAATGGCATGCGTGAAAGGAAGGCAGCCAACCAGAGAAGGACATGGATGAGATGCAGTATATAATGAGCGGCGTGGCCAGCGAGGTGGACTCG